CCAGCATCTGTAATGCGTAAAGTTTTAAGTTCAGCAGGACGAATACAAAGCATCACCATAACATCAGCAAGAGCCTGACAATCAGGTAAAGTTTTAATATCATACGCATCTAATCTTTCTTTGACTGATTCTAATGTAAATTCATCTGGATAATCGATACGTTTAGCTTCAGCTTTTTTCCGATTGACACTCTGAATTTTGTTGACATCTTCTGTAATATCTGAAAATTTCGTGGCCTCGATAATCTGGAATGAAGCACCAATATTTCTTAATTCTCTTCGAAGCCGTGAAAGACGTGACGAACCAGCATTAGCATTTAATGCTAATAGGGCTAAGGCATAAGCTTCAGCTCTTACATCTCTAATGCTAAGCTTATCCCGTAAAAGCCGATGTGCCATATCTCCGATAGTTTCTTCCTCCATTCCTTTCGAGGATTTGTTAGAAATTGCAATATTTACGTCTCTATTGCAGGGCAATGGCTCTTCGAACGTACTTCCATTTTTCTGGGTAGAGAATAAATCATCCACTTGTCTCCCGCTAAATCCATATCTATTCTGTAAGATTCGTTTAGTTATCTCTCTGATAATCTCTTCTTCCAAATCTTTAGGGGGAGAAGCTATAGCTATTTTGCAACTACCCTTGATGATATTTATAATCTTGACCTTACTACTTCTCTGATTAGGTATTAATATACTTACCTGATCACTGCTAAATTTAAAACCATCTCGAAGACGTTGTCGACCTTGATTCCGCTTTCTATCATCGGTAAGGTTTTCAAGAAATTCTGAGGTATATTTACTGAGATCGGACACACTCATCTTGGGGCTGAGATTGTATTTTTCAACGATTTTAGTCACGATAGCTGACATGATCTAATGTTATAGTAGGTCAAGTAGGTTATGAACAGTTCTTTAGGTTATATACACTATAAAAATATTTTTTCAAATCAAAATTAATTATCCGTGAATAGCTATACCTAAAAATTGAATAGGTCGTGGTTATTGTAATTCTATCTGAAAATGGATGCGAACAAGACACGAGTTCGATCAAAAGTTTTAATCTATATATGCCAGGTATATATACACATCAATGCTTTGGGTCAAATTTGTCGATTTGAAAGTTACCAATATATAGGATATAACGAAAAAAAATTATAGCTTCGAGTTGTGGCGACTCAGGCTATATTAACATCATTTGGTACTATATTTATTTTTTATTTGTCGAAGACACTAGCTTTGCTATAATGCTTGAAATAGATTCTGGTATTTTTCTATACTTATGGACTATTTCTTGTAAATATCGGGTCTATTTTCCATTATATCAATCGGTGGTATCATAGCTGGATGGGACAGAGCATTCATGAATCTAATTTGCTCAGGATAGTAATAATCTATAATATCCGGTAATTGTAGAAATTCGGCTAGATCTTTTACGTACTTGAAACCATTGCGCATTAGTCTGCAGAATATTGGTCTGTTGTGATCAATCTCTCTTTTGGTTAATAAGTTGACTATTTTCTGGGGTGTTTCCATTGGGAGTTACTAGTTATAAAAATGATAATAGTTAATTGTTACTTATGAAAATGATAAGTTTAATTGGTTATTTTTCCTTTTTTCCTCTATGTCTCTCAGAAAAAAGATGTATATGTTAACAGCATTTATCTGGCTTCGAGGTTATAGACCGAGAAGGCGGGATACATATCTAGTAAATTGCTTCGTATATACAGATATTAAGCATGCAAAGTTTCTCTTATACACTTCTGTTTATAATATTTATACGCTTTTTTTCTACCTTGACCACACGGGACACAAAGCTGAAGACTCGATTTAGTTCCTCGCCTACATCCTTTACATGGTCGGGAGATTATTAAACCCTTTCGAATCTTGAATGCATGGTAGCACAATATTGTCCTTTTGCTGGGTTTTTACATAATTTAGTATCTCCAACTAATAACCAATTACAAGACATTTTCGATTCACAAAGTTGTTATATTATTCTCACTTTCATATTTAAAATTAAATTCGAAAATGAAAAATTAACCAAATATCGTTTTTAGGTGTCACAAAAACCAGTATATTGGTATAAAGAACAGAGTTTTCATTATATTTTAATTTGAAAATTTTATATTGCCCATA